TATGCTTCCTCCCCGGTTCCTCTTCGGTCGGTTATAGCTGGACGCTAGGGTCTAATCTGCTTCTGTGGCCTTCGCTACCTGCTTCTCCACGGTTTTGGAGACCACCTTCTCCTGGACGGTTTCCTCCACCTCCTCTCCTTTCTCGGTGACGGTAACAGTTTTTGTGACTTTGACTCCACCTTCCCCTGTGGTGATGGTCTCCACCGTCTTGGTGATCACAACCCTCTGGCTCGTTTCATCTTTGGTTGGGCTCTCGTCCACTCCGTTGGAGATCATCTCCTTCTTATCGGACTCTTTCTTCTCGTCTTTCTTGCCCATGTCTCCGTTCACGGTGGCCTCCTTCTTTTTGTCTTCAGGCTCTTTTTCTGGTTTACTTTTTTTAGTGGCTTTCTCATCTGCTGGCTTTGGGGAATCTTCTTTAGCTTCTGCTTTCGGTGGTTCTGCCTTTGGTTCTTCTTTCTTAGGACTCTCAGTCTTGGGGGCTTCCTTTTTTGGAGCCTCTGTCTTAGGTGTCTCCTTCTTCGGGCTTTCGCTTTTTGGAGATTCTGGTTTAGGCGTCTCTGTCTTGGTTTCTGTCACAGTTGCTTTTTCCTTCTCAGGTTTGGGCTCCTCCTTCTCCTCTTTTCCTTTCTTGTCTTCCTTTGTCGCTTCTGCTTCTACTTTCTTAGGCTGCTCCTTTGCTTCTGGTTCTTTTTCACCAGGTGATCCTTTGTCGCTACCTGCCTCTGCCTCATCTTTCTCATCACCCTCTTCTTCTTCTTCTGCTCCTTCTTCTCCTCCGCTGGTCTGTTTCTCCTCTGCTTTCTCACTCTCGGGAGAGGCCTTTGCCTCGGGTGCTTTAGTTTCCTCTGAATCGTCCTCTTTCTTTTCCTCCTCACCCTCCTCTTCTCCCTTCTCTTCCTCTTCTTCATCCTTTCCTGCTTCTTCTTCTTCTTCTTCACCTCCCTCTTTCTCTCCCTCCTCTTCATCCTCAGCAGGGGCTCCGGAGGCTACTTTGGCTTGGCTGGAGGCAACCACCTCCTCCTCTGCTTCTCCTTCCTCCTCACCTTCACCTTCCTCTCCTTTCTCACCTTCCTCCTCACCACCTTCTTCATCCTTACCCTCCTCCTCTCCTTCTTCTTCTCCCTTGGCAGCAGACAACTCTTTTGCCATCTCAACCAAAGCCTCGTCCATCTCAGACTTCTCATCCTCCACCCTGGTCTCCTCGATGATCTCCTCTACGAACTTGTGTTGCACTTTAAGCTTTGGAGGCTCACTTTTGACCTTGGGGCCTTTGGTGACGGACTGGCGATATGGGAAAGTGCTAAAGTGGCTCTCCTCTCCTTCAAGAAGTTTTCTACATAAAGAGAAAAGGCATCGAATTGCGATTTAGGCTATTATAAATTGTATGTAAAGATTACATGTAGACATTTCTCTGAAATATGTATGGCTACATAATTTGCCAAAATACAGATAATTAAGTGTTAAAAAACACTTTCTTTTTTTGCATAAAATAATATATATTCTCATTCTCATATTTACATTAATAAATATTTCAACAATAATTTGTTAAATGATAATTGTTAATAAATATGAAATATAATATTATATAATAATAAAATATTAAATATTACGCAAAATATTAAATCTAATAATAACAATATTTGCTTATTTTTAATAATAAATTATAATATTACTAACTAAAAATAAAAGGTATTTACACCATACTCATATGCAAAATATTTCCCAATCTTACCTGTATGCAGCAATCTCTATATCTAGTGCCATTTTGACATTCAGGAGGTCTTGATATTCACGAAGATGCCGTGCCATCTCCCATATATATATTCCTGGCATGCTTCAAGGAACTTTCTGTGTATATGATTCTAATGATCTCACAGCACCAATTAATTTACAATTCACAGTACAGTAATATTCACAGGGCAACCACTAGGTGCATTCAGTCTATGTGTATGAGGTGATTCCAGGACACAGCCAATGAGCTAACCCTGCCTCTGCTCTGACTCAGCAAAGAGCAGGGAGAGACTGCATTGTGGGTGTCTGCCTCTCCTTAACCCTTTCTAACACCATTCCACTGCACCTATGATGTAATGAAGCATCATATGCAAATCCTCTTGTGGATGACCAGTCGGTTTAGTGAGCTCTGAAGAAAAAGCATTACACAGCCATGCAGACTTCACTGTGACTTGATTTCATTATTGATGATAGCAGCAGCACATTTTAAAAGCCAAATTGATTTATGATTCACTACAGTACAACTGCAGCAAGGCTGCAACCATTGTTCACCACAATATTCAGAGTAGTGGTCTAACAATGAGTTTTCAGTGGCAATTGAGGAACATTATTTTATCAAAACTATACAAAACCATACACATATTATTGTTTTTCAACTTTAAAGCACTTTTTAAAATGCACGATCAGTCTTGCATATCAAACTCCCTTGTTGTTTAAATGGTAGCCTATACTTATTGTTTAGAGCATGCGATTTTGTACCTGAAGGCTGGCAAGGTCATTGTTGTGTCGGTCCTCTATGTCGTTCAGCTGCCTCTCCAGAGACTCTTTGGTTCCTCGGACAGACTCCAACTCGATGGTTCTGGACTGTAACTGACGGCGATAGTCTGCGATCTCGTCCCGTGCAGATTTGATGGCGCTTTTATTTTGCTCGGCGGCCTCCGTGAGTTTGGTGTAGCGGCACATGAACCAGTCTTCCACCTGCTGGAGGTTTTGCGTCGAGTGGCCCTCCAGCTGCGAGCGAATCTCCCGCAGCGCTTCGGTGATATCCGCCTTCTGGTAGTCCCTCTTCTCCACGGTGATCTGCGACGCTTGCACCTGCGCCAACAGATCGTTCATCTCCTCTTGGTGGTTGTTGCGGATAAACGCGATCTCGTCCTGCAGGGACTGCACTTTCTTCTCCAGCTCGGCTTTGACGAGTGCTGAGTCACCCATGTCCTTCATCAGGGCACGGACAATCGCCTCCGTCTCTTCCCTGATGCGCGCCTCCTCGTCGAAGCGGTCCCTGAGGCGCTGGATGTCTTCGTCGATGTGCTCGGTGTCCAGTTGGATCTGCGCCTTCTCGTGATGGATCTGCTCCAGCATGGAGCGCAACTCCTGTAGCTCTTGGTCATAAAGTTCGCCCAGCTGAGACTGCGACACCTGCTTCTGCCGCAGTGCCTGGATCTCCGCCTCGATCTGCTTGTTCTGCTGCTCCAGAAAGTGCACCTTGTCGATGTAGCCGGCAAAGCGGTCGTTGAGTCCCTGGAGTTGCTCCTTCTCGTTGGAGCGCTTGTAGTCTCCATTGAGGATGGAGGTCTGGGTGTAATCGAGGCTGTCGGTGGAGCTCAGCACTGTTGAGCCGTAAGCTCGCGCCACCGGGACGTTGAAGGACCTCTTGTAGGAAGAAGAGCTGGGGCTTGCCCGCGACCAGGTCTGGGAGCGAAACCCGCTGGAGGGGCTCGAGTAGCTCGTCCTGGTGTCCATCGCCCTGCGGTAAGGGCTTCCTATAGTGTCTATAGGATAACTCATCCGGACGGACGGGGTGTGAACGTGCAGATGAACAGAAGGGTGAGGTAAAGTAGTGTATAGGTGCAGGGTGTGTGGCTCTCTCAGCGCTGGATAGCCGCTCTACCTGCCTTTATATACTCGAGGCGCTGTTGCGAAAAAGCTCAGGTTTGTTTTGACTGGACCATTGATCCGACGATGTGGGAGGGTCCTGCTTGCTACACTTATCTTTATCCAGTGTTTCAGCTTCCTGGTCACACTTAACTAGTGCTTGGGAGGCTAATCCAGTGTGCGATATATTATAAAAATAACTTTCAAAAACGTTTTCTGTTCTAAAAGTTACTTTTAAAGACTTTTTAGACTGGAAACTAAAAGTGTGTGATGTATTTGTGGTGTTTAATCTAAGTGATACATAATCAGTAGGCCTACTTGTTTTTTTTTTATCGGCCATCAAATGTTTAAAAACTC